TTGCCTAGGAGTATCTCAGGTCCTTGATCCTCACTTCCCACATGTTTTTTTGAATACAGCAAAAAATTTAAGGTGCTTTTTTGTTAGTTCCTTTCACTTTCTGAAAAGCAAATAGGAATTGGGCATTACTTTGCGAGTTTTCTTTCTGTAAATAAGCTATAGGAGTGTTTTCTTGTTGCTTGTGGGTTCCTGTCTGAGCTCCCCAGCTGGATGCAGTATCTATTGATTCTGTTGCTTTTTCGTTTGTTCATGCTGGCATGTGAAATCTTCTCTCTTCTTGGAGTTAGGTGCTAATGGATCATGGGAAAGAAAAATCCTTGTCTGGTGAGAGGTACTACTAATGCTATTCCAATTTATGTTGCAAAAGGCATGACTTTAAGAAGTAAATGCACAAAACCCACAGATGTGCTCTGTAGTAAGGGGATAGCTAATAATGGGTTGAAAACACTGTTTGAGAGCACTTTCTGAGATTGTTTCTCTGCTGACACTTGGGCCACTGGATGTTTCCACTTCACCAATGCTACCTGTAAATGGTTTATATTCCAAACAAAACCAAAACCAGTCAGATAAACCGAACAGGGATGAAACAAAAGATTAGCATTTTGTTTAAAGCACAAGTGTCAGTCTATGAAACTAACATGAAAACAGGGTTTCTTGCCTTCATTTACCCTACTGCAAACATATTTGCTTAGGAGCAATAAGAGTTAATTGTCAAACTTTACAATGTAGTCAGAGATTTTCTCATAAAATGTATAACAGACTCTGCCCAGATGGCAAATGCTGATATGTAAATCTAAAACATGAAAATTTCCACTGGGGGCCAGATGGTGGCTTAATGTGAATTGTTTAACATTTATGTTTATCTTATTAAAAGTGCCTTTATATGTCCAAACTAAGCTATCAGTGTGGTTGGAAGAGCATATCACTAAATGTACAAAAAAAATCAAACCACGAGTACAAGGCACCTCCTGCTTACATGGATCGTGGGAAAGCAAAGCATGTCCTTCTCTGTTGAGAGAAGTTCTTTCTCTGTCTACAAAATTGTGAAGAAAATATTATAAATAAAATCAAATCGCTGTTTGTCTGCTTGGGAAAAATATTAAAAACATATTACTCTCCCAGAAGTTAGAAATGTTGGACAGTGGTAACACACACATTAAATACCGTAATGTATTTCCCCTTAAAATAGGCGTTGGTGTTCAGTGGAAAAGAGCTGAGCTCCAGACTAGGGGAAAGCATCGCGGCTGCAATCCCTCCCGGGCACAGGTCCTTCCTCCTGCAGGGGAGGCCTGGCTCTTCCTGCATTGCCTCTTGGCTCTGCCAAAACCATCATTTCCTCTGATGCAATTCAAGAAGTTGCACAACAGAGGAAAGAACAAACGGGCACTTGTGGACTCCGTCACATGAGGGACCGGTGGTGCCTTTACAGTAAATATGTCTGTTATTAAGGGAAGAGGTTAGTGTGGCTCCGAAGGGCAACAACTAGCCCTGGGTCAGATCAATCTTTCACAGGACTCTCAGTGCACGTGCTCCAGTTCAGATGCAAATCTGTGCCCGCTCGTCCCTCCAGATGAATCTTTCTGAGACCAGCACATCATGTTGAGGCACCTAAAAATTAGAGGGTAGCTGTTGCACAGACAAGAAGTAAAATACCTTTTAATAGCTTTAGTTAAACACTCCAGGCATCAAATACACAGTTATTTTTTTATGCTTTCACAGTGGAAGGGGAAAAATGCTTCAGTGGTAAACCTAAAATAGAGTGCCTGCCTGTGTCTGTGGATACCTCTATGTATGTGTGTGATAGTGTTCAAAAGGCAGAGAAATAATTTAAAGAGGAAGGCTGCGGGAAGGCTGAAGGAACAAAATTGCAAAATATTTGCTTTAGACTGCAATTTTCTTTATTTCTTTTTTTAGTTCTTTTCCATCACCTCATGCTGGGGGTTGTGATTCACCTTAGTGAATCACTGGTCAACGTTGACTCCATTAACTTTGACCTGAGGCTTTGGACTAATGCCCAGACTTTTTTTCTTTCTTGAAAAGGGCAGTATTACTAAAAGCACTGGCAGAAATTATAGATAAGTGTTAAATGGCAGGTTAATATTTAAATCAGTGTGCTGTTTGATGATATTACATATTAGCATATTGAACAGAAGAACACTTCCTCCATGGAACCCATTCGTGTGAAGAGTAATTACTTGAATTGTTACTCGAAGTTAAGGCTAATACTGCTGTATTTATATAGAACTTTTCAAACTGAAAATAGGAGGGCTCTTTTCCAATTACATGGTGATAATTAAAAAAACCAACCCCGCTTTTTTGGTTTTAAGTGCCACAAACACAACAACTAAATAAAATTTTAAAAGGTACTCCTGACAAACATCTCTCTCTGGGGTAGAGCACAACACTGTTTAGCAAAGCTCAGCCCTTTGCCAGAGATAAGATACTAGGCTAAATATGGTCCCTTGAAAAATGGTGACAGGAGCCAATCAATGCTGTCATATTTCTCAAACAACAGCCCAAGATCCTGAAAATCCTGAAAACCATGCAAGCATATTCATTCAAAAAATAATCCTGCTTGCTGAATTGATTGCCGCACACACACAGAGGTGGTGTACAGCCTCATCATTAATTTTTTTTTTGGCCAGCTGGTATCTTTGGAGATCTCTCATCCCGCAAATGAGGCAGCACCCAAAGCTACATATTTTGATAACAAATATAGCCAGTAGTATGGCTGAAAGATTTAATTAGCTGTGTCTTAAGTTTTTTGCACTAAGGCTATGTGGGTTTTCTTCTTAAGGAAAACATGTTATGCCTTCTGTACCTCTTTTTTTGATCACTTTTGGTTTTTGTGATTTAAACTGAAACTGAGCACCAGTTCTGCTATTTTTGTGCTGTAGTCTGTTGCAACTCAGGGAGGAAAACAGCTCTGTTAATTCACAGCCTTGTGCATTATACACACACAAAAAATATCTATTGAGTTACATTTTTAATGGTGCCTTGTAAATGAATAATTCAGAAGTGAGCCCTAAAATCCAGATCCTGCAGTTTTATCCAGAACATATTGCAAATGCTCTGAGACTAGGAAACAGTTTCAAATCTGGTGCAGAAGGAGACAGTGAGCAGCTGGTAAACTACTGGCCCTTAATGAAGCTATACCATATTGCAATATCTCCAATTACTGCAGAACTTAATTAGTTCGTTTTACCCTGCCAATCTGGAGAGACCAAACATTGTCTTGGGCAGCCACTGTAATTATTTCAGTTTCTTCATTGCTGGCCATTAAAGCTGAGTTTGGTCTCTCCCAGCAAGGTATATTAAATATGTCTTAGATTTGGGAATGCCTGCATTGTGTTACACACAGATATTTTACATAACTGCTCTGTTTTAGAGAAAAGTAACTTTTTTAGTAACTGGTAGAAGTAGTTCATGCAGTGTATAAATATGAGTGTTAATGGTATAGCACTTTTAACAAAGAAAAGAGAATACTGAATTGGTTTGTTCAAATGTGGACTTGCCCTAAAGCTTTTTGCCATAACTGTTGTACAGAAGTGATCATTTTGAATGGCAACATGACTTGGCATTCAAGTTACTTTGCTTCTCTATTTGGAAATAGTCTTTAGAGATGAGGGAATGTTTTAATTTGATATGATGGCAAAATAAATATATCTTGGGTGTAGAACTGCTAACTAAATCAGTAAAGTTCTGTTTAAATGAAACGTAGTGTTTGGTATATTATTTGTAGTGTGCTAGCCTGATGAGAATCCCTAACACTGAACATTATTTTTGTGTGCTGCCGCTAAAGGGTAATTTTAAGAATAATGAAAAATGCCATAAAATCAAAACTCCCAGGCACCAGCAAGAAATTGTTGGCATTTACCCATCTGACAAATGTGGCTACCAAGTATTAAAATTCTGTATCAGCTGACATCCAAATTGATGATTTTTCAATGGCTTCTTCACAGAAGAAAATAGTCCAAACTTCAGCCCTTAAAAATATCGAATATTTGAACAGTAAAAAACCAAAACAATCCACTAACCCCTTCCCCCCAAAAAAAAACCCTTATGCAATAAATTAAAAGAAATTGTAGCCAAATCAAGTAATATTAACCGGTTGGTTTTCCCTAAATAGCAGAGTTTAATTTGTCTTCTGAAACACTGCAGACGCAAGGGGTAGCTGATTTCCAAGAGAGATAGGTCATTGTTAGCTGTCTGATAATGATTGACTCTGTGATGAGCCAGAGGCCAACTGATTAACAAAATTTGAGGCTTATTGACCTCTAGTTTATACACAACTGCTCCCAACCAACTGCACTTAGAACATCAACTTAGACTACGCTTTAAATTACAATTTTTTTAGTAATAGTCTTAATAATTGTGTTTAGTGCTACAGTGATGTTATGTCACTTGGTGACTTTGAAACCAGGTTATCCTCCGACTCTGAAGCCCTGTTCTGCTGATTTTTAAGATTAATACTTAATACCAGGATGGGAACATAAATATTTTAAAATATGTTTTGCAGTATGGCTGTTATAGTTACTTCAGACAGTCCTTGTCATATTTTTAGTCAGCTTTTACAGTTTTATAAGATCACCTGAAAAAAATTTACATGTGCAAACTTTCCAATTTCTGTTCTTTTCTCCTAAAAATTACTTTCTTAATGTGACATAATTCATTCTATAGCTTCATGTTTTCTATGAGCTAACTTAGGAAAGAAGAATATATTTATCCTCGGGCTAGTTCATGTATTACATTACCAATTGTAACAAATTGCTTAGTTTCTATAAGCCTGTGTGCGGGCCTCAGCAACCAAACCATCAGTTCACACACTTCAGAAAGGTTGTATAGAGCCATATTTTATTTACATAATTTTGTAGGATTAAGAGAATAAGCCTCAGTTACATGAGTCTACCTGTTTAATAGAGAAATTAAAAGCTTTGCTATTGTTCTAAACCAGTTTTGCTGGGGAGGACGCTCGCTTAAAAACAGCGTTTCTATTACAGGACATGAACTTGATTGACATCCTTTGGAGGCAAGATGTAGACCTTGGGGCAAGGCGTGAAGTTTTTGATTTTAGTCAACGACGGAAGGAGTATGAACTCGAGAAACAGAAGAAACTTGAAAAGGAAAGACAAGAGCAGCTCCAAAAAGAGCAGGAGAAAGCCTTGCTGGCTCAGCTGGAGTTAGACGAAGAGACAGGTGAATTTGTTCCTGTTCAGCCAGCTCAGCGCATTCAGCCAGAAAATACTGAGCCACCAGTCGGTTTTTCACAGGTAAATTCTAATATGTGTTTGTGAGTGCGTTTAAACCTTTTTCCATTCACAGGAAGACATAATGTTCGTGGTTACCTAAAATGAATTTGCATTCGTTGCTACAATGGAGGATTCTTCAGTTATTCAAAGATGCAGTAACATTTTTTCATAACTTTCCTATTTAGACAACACAGACTTCAAAACCAGAAGCAGAGGCCTTGTCCTTTGATGACTGCATGCAGCTCTTGGCAGAAGCATTCCCATTTATAGATGACAATGAGGTAAAAATGCTCAATGCAGCGGTTTCACAGGTGGTCTTCTAGGGGATCAGTCTCATGTCTTCTCTTACTAAGATTTGTCTTCAGCATAACATTAATTTGTGATACGATTTGAGTTTTGTCCTCAAGCTGACTCCACCTGGAATAAAGCAGTGTATTTAGGCTTGAAGTAGGGCCGTGTCCGGAGGGAGTGGAGTGGTACTCTTGTGTTCCTTTTGCTTACTGAATCCTGCAGCCAGGACTCGGTGTGTAACCTCATGTCTTCTCTTACTAAGATTTGTCTTCAGCATAACATTAATTTGTGATACGATTTGAGTTTTGTCCTCAAGCTGACTCCACCTGGAATAAAGCAGTGTATTTAGGCTTGAAGTAGGGCTGTGTCCGGAGGGAGTGGAGTGGTACTCTTGTGTTCCTTTTGCTTACTGAATCCTGCAGCCAGGACTCGGTGTGTAACGCCGGCTGCAGGCAGCCATTCCATCATACTGCAAATAACGGCAGTGGACTTGGTCAGTTTGTTGCAGTGAGCTTCGTGCAGCTCTCTGGAGTCACTGCATTTGAGTTGCTTTATTTCCATGTGCTGACTCAGACTATTTGATGTGCAAGGATAAGCCTTTCACCATCCAGTTTCTAGACTTTTTTTTTTCCTATTTCTTCCCTTAATATGAAAACGCCTTTCATGGGAATATTTTTGTATTACCCCATTGTTTGCAAAACATGCTTTTGTTAAGAAATACTTGTCTGTCTGTCCTGCAGAAATGGTAGAACACCAAAAAACAGATTTTTGCTTTGGAAAAATCGAAGTTGTTTTTTGAGTGGGTTTTTTTATGTGGGGGTTTTCTTGTTATTGTTGTTTTGTTTGGTCTTTTGATTTTTTTTTTTTGTAAACACTCCAGGCTTCTTCAGCTGCGTTTCAGTCACTGGTTCCTGCTCAGATCGATAGCAACCCAGTCTTCATTTCCTCTGATCAAACTCAGCCACCTGAATCGCCTGTTCTAGTTCCACTTACTGATGCAGAGAATATGCAGAACATAGAGCAAGTTTGGGAAGAATTATTGTCCCTTCCAGAGTTACAGGTAAAGGTTTAGTATGATAAGCGCCTGAAAAAAATAGCATGATATTTTGGAGGAATATGGTGTTTCGGAGAATGCAGTACAACATCATCTTAACAGATCGTGATTATGACTGTCACGTTGAATCCTACACCTGTAGGATGTCTATAACTCAATATAAGCTTTAATTTTTTTAAAGTAATATATTGAAAAACATGTAGGAAGGAAGGAAATTAGTTGTTTATCAGAAGGCCTTAATAAAATACAATCTATCTTCCCAATCAGAACTTCCCCGTGTTTAGCAAATCATTGTTTGCCGCTGTATGCAACTTGTTACAACATGGTCATGGTTGAAATTTCAGCTACTTAAAAGTGGATACTTTTGAATTACGGATCTACAACAGGAATTGTTTCCACAAACATTATTTTAAATGTTGGTGGTTTTTGCAGCGTCTGATTGTGTGAATCATTTCTGGTTACTTTTGCATTCAACTTTTATCTAAGGCAAAGGTTTTCTAAAGTTGATAATAGAACATATATTTAGATACATAGAAGAGTCAGGTATAGTTATATAACTACTGCTTATGTATGTTCAGTAAGAACTAATTATGTAATGTACATGAACTGAATATTTCAAAGGAGCAAAAAAAATTGCTTTGCTGTATTTCTAAATCGTGCATTACAGAGGACCTCTAGGGGTTTTTTTCCTACTATCTTTATGTTTCTATTTACATTTTCCTAAGATTTGACTATAAAATTGAGTAAATTTATTTTCAAATATATCACTGTAGAATGTCATCATGCTTCATGATGCTGCTCTACTTTATGCTGTTAACACAAGAGATGAATGCTCGGTGGAATGCCTGTAAATCCGAATCATATTTAAAAAAAAAACAAGTTTGCAGGAACTACATTTTTGCTGCCACTCTACATTTTCCCTTCGTCTTTTTATATTTTTCAAAATTTTCCTAGTTTCCTAATCTTTACTGCTGTGGTAGGCTTAAAAGCGCCACATAAGTAACAAGGGCAATTGGCTGTGAAGAGGCAGCAGTGATGCTGAAAATACATTAAGAAACCAAACCAAAATTATCTGTTGCAGTAATTCTGAATAGTAATTGAGTAATCTCTTGAAAGAAGTGCGATAATTAAATTGAGGGCGTTGCCTTTTACGAATTATCTTTTGAAGAAAAGAAAAAAAAGAGCACTTTCATTCAAAACCTTAGCTTACGCCTTGAACGATCTCTGGTTAAATAATCAGTGTGCGGTCTCTTCTTAAGAGAAACAGAATCATTTTGGTAATTGCCTAATTCTTTGGGGACAGCAAGCACACTAATTTCAGCTTCAGTTAAGAAACTGCCACCCCGTTGGAAAGAACATTGGTCTTGTAGCCAATGAAAGCCCGTGAGTGTAATAGTCTTCAACGCTCACGCTGATGTTAGCCAGCTTAACTAAAAGTATGTGGGGTGAGTTAATGTTTGCAAGGCTTCACGTTAGTACTCTTTTTACTTCACTGAGAATTACATTTCTCTGCACTGAACAGCTGCTTCATTCAGTAAATCCTAAAAGAATCTTGGGTTTTGAGGAAAAGAAATCTATCGCATAACATGAAATTAAGAGTGCTAAAAGTAATTGCTTGCTAGTAATGCTCATTAAGTCTCATTGAGTAATTTTACATTTACTGTACTCATGCCATTCCTAGCAGTGGTGCTTGTGGGAAGTTCAGACCTGGCGGCTCCAGGATCCCCACTAGCAGTTTACCAGAACAGGAGGGCTCCGTGCAGCTTCCGTATAGCATAGGAATGGGTCTCTTCAGCATCTTGCTATGAGTTTGAGAGGCTCTGCTCTCTTAATCTGAATAGCTTTGTCCGGAACGGGTTGCTTCATACTCTTGCTTAGGTATCTAGTCTTCTTCCTAGATTGCCCCTCTGTAGTAAAAGTGTGTTATAGCCATCTAGGTTACAGCAATGTTGTAATACCTGTTTTCTGTGCATGTTGATTGCTAAAATATTTAATGTTTGTGGGTTCTAGAAAAAGGTTTTATCAATTGGAGATGTGTTGCTCAACTTCTCTCTTGCATTTCCCATGTAGTGTCTTAACATTGAAAATGATAACCTGGCTGAGGTAAGCACAATCACAAGCCCTGAAACCAAGCCAACAGAGATGCACAACGGCTATAATTACTACAGCTCATTACCCATCATGAGAAAAGATGTTAACTGTGGTCCAGATTTCCTGGATGGTATTGAGGGCCCCTTTTCCAGCATTTTGCCACCAGAAGACACCAGCCAGCTGAGTGTGAACTCTTTACATGACACGTCCCCTTCAAACTCTGATTTCTGTGAGGATTTCTACACCACCTTTATTGATACAAAGGGGAACGGTGACACAGCAACGACAAACACTATCAGTCAATCACTCGCGGAAATTCTAAGTGAACCTATCGATCTTTCTGATTTCTCACTGTGTAAAGCTTTTAATGGCAACCACTCAGGAACCGTACCAGAATGTAACGATTCTGACTCTGGTATTTCACTGAATGCAAGTTCTAGTGTAGCATCGCCTGAACACTCTGTTGAATCATCTGCCTGTGGAGATAAGACTTTTGGTTGTAGCGATTCTGAAATGGAAGACACGGACAGTGCTCCTGGAAGTGTGCCACAGAGCAATGCTAGCATGTACTCTTTGCAGTTCCAGGATCAAGTGTTTTCTTCTGTGGGGCCAAGCACTCAACCTAGTTTGCGGTGTATAAACACACCAAAGAAAGAACCGCCGGCTGGTCCAGGCCACCCCAAAGCTCCGTTCACAAAAGATAAACCTTCAAGCCACCTTGAAGCTCATCTCACAAGAGATGAGCAAAGAGCGAAAGCTCTGCAGATCCCTTTTCCTGTTGAAAAAATCATCAATCTCCCCGTTGATGACTTCAATGAAATGATGTCTAAGGAGCAGTTCAATGAAGCCCAGCTTGCGCTTATTCGAGATATACGCAGGAGAGGCAAGAACAAAGTGGCTGCTCAAAATTGCCGTAAAAGAAAACTGGAAAATATAGTGGAACTGGAGCAAGACTTGAGTAACCTAAAAGACGAGAAAGAGAAATTGCTTAAGGAAAAAGGAGAGCATGACAAAAGCCTTCGTCAAATGAAAAAGCAACTAACCACCTTATACCTTGAGGTCTTCAGCATGCTACGCGATGAAGACGGAAAGTCTTACTCTCCTAGTGAATATTCACTGCAGCAAACTAGAGATGGCAACGTCTTTCTTGTTCCTAAAAGCAAGAAGTCAGAGACTAAACTTTGAAGGGCAGCACAGCTGGGTACTGTTCTCCGAGTCATTATTTTTGTATCGTTATCCTGATAGTTTTTACTGTGAGGCAGAATGCAGAATTAGGTAATATTTTTCAAGTAATTCTATGCAATGATAATTTTAGAGTTAATAATCAGTTTATGGAAGATGCAAGTTTAAAACTAATAGCGTAATGCAGATGGACATATGCAAAATTTGTAATCTCACTTTTATAACAGACATTTCCTTCTTATAGCACCACTCTGACTAGTTTCCATATACATGTAAATATTTAAAGATACCATATTTATATACTGTTCCTGTCTCTTGTTATATTCATAGATTTATTTGAGAGAGAGATATATATAAATGACTTTAGCCTTCCAAATACAATTTCTCGCAAGACAAACAGTATGGCTTCTGATAACTTTTTTATAAATATGCAATAGTGTTTGTTTCCCATTTTTCTTACACATTTATACTTGCTTTATATTTAATATATGATTTTAATTTAGTGTAAAAGTTGATACGTAGTGTTTGGTTTTGATTTATCAGTTCATTAAACTTTTTTTAACTCTACTTCATACACGTTTATTTCCCTAAAGAAGGGAAACCTTCGCTAGTTTTCCCAGGCTAAGTCTTCATGTAACAAATACGCTTAATAAGCAGAGATGTATCACACAGCATTGTCAGCATTACTAATGCTTCCTTCAGCATAATTTTAGCTGCCATTTGGGAGGATTGTGTAACGCAAAGTTACGTTTCAAGTCTACGCTAAGTTTACATCATTTTTGTTTTGCTCTTTGAACACTACTTAAATTCATTGTGAGATCTTTCCTCCAAAGGCATTTAAAATCTGTTAATTAAGACATTGTCAGCATTATGCATTTTTCCAACTAAAAATTCTGTACACTTTTGGGTGGTTGTTCTACAAGTACACTAGGTGTCCCTGACTCCGATCAGCGAGCATCGTTTGTCACTGCTGTTACTCTGGAGCTTATGGAAAAAGGCGTACTAACTGCCAACCAACCGCACTGTTTGGAACCTGTGCTCAATTAATTGAAAAGCATTGTGGAGTTGAAATTATGATTTATAAGAGAATAAAAATTGGGCAAATAAATAGCATTGTTTTGTTTACTCTTCAAATGGACTCATTGTACTTGATCGTTGATGCATTTTCTGTATTCAAAAAATCCACACTGTAATTTGAAATACACATTGATCTGAACATTAAAAACCCTATCGTCTTCCTTCATCTTCCCTATGAAACTTCTAAAAGGCACGTTTAATCTGGAACGTCTTTTCTGCCACTGATGCTCTATGTCATTTTAGGAATATTGTGTCTATTACAATATTATGCATCTCTCCATTTAGTATAATAAACACCAAGTTGTTTTGCAAGACCTTATGGTACCTTTTTTTTAAAAGAAGGAACTGGAGATACTGAAAAAGGGTAGAGTAGGACCCACAAAGATTGTTTAATAATATTGTAGGAAAAAGGGTTTAAAGAGGGATATTGGATTAGGAATTAGCCCAATTAGCCAGCCTTCCATTAGCTCATTATTCACATTAGAGTAATGCTGAATAAAATGATGTGGTCTTGAGATTTTTATTCCCCAAACTTTTTAACTGTGCTGGAGTTGCATATCCAGCAGAAAGCATCTCATCTCGTGGCTGGCCATGAAAGCCAAAGGAACGATTTTAGATTATCGTAATCCCAATTCCATACTGTATCACTTTTTATGGACCTTCTGAGTGTCCTCAAAAAAAAAAACCCACTACACAAAGAGAAGTACAGAAAGCCATAGTTCTGATGAGTATTACGCTGTCACAGGATGCTGTGGAAGGTCTCCTGGTTTTGACTGTTCTGTGCTGTTCGCTGCTTTCCTACAACTCCCCAGTGACTCCAAGCCCTCTCACCTGAATAGCATTAACTAGTTTGGAGCCTATGATTGTGTAGGTACCAGTTTTGTTTTCCTCTGTATGCACAGAATTTCAGATGCTATTTTATTGTGCGGCTGGTCACAGTAATATCAGTGTAACACTTCACAATCAGCTTTTGTGTTTATTATTTGGGATAATTTTTTATTTCCAGTCTTTGTCACCTTGTCATTCATCTTCCTGTTAAACTCATTTACCGATTCTGAATAGCAGAGGCCCCTCTAGTACCTGGTGCGCTCGCTCTCTCTTGCTTCATCTGCAGTGCAGCCTTAGCTAACCAGCGAAGAGCAGGGGTAGGAAAGCAGAGCAGTAACAACAGCTTCACCAAGAAGGCAGTTTTGCTCTGGGGCAGTGTAATGCCAGGAACCACGATCCTATTGACACTATCCTCTTTACAAGGCAGGTGTAATGGCCAAGTGCCAGTAGCAGAAGCAGCTCGTTGGTACCTAAATCTGGGACTGTCAGATGTTCCAGCCCTGCCTGCCTTAAGGGAAAAGTAACAGTTTCACACAACTTCTCATGCCGTGTTACTTGCTGCAGACTTTCAAGTGAGGTCCTGCCCCCACAAAATGTATCTGAGGCAACAGGTAGATAGAGCAAAGTCATGAAAAAACTGTAGCCTTGGATTTCCAACATCCCTGGAAACGCTAGGAACCCCGCCCATTACGTCAAGGAGTAACGTTTGTGTTTTTGCGGAAGATGTTGGGAAATGTAAATCCAAGTGACCCAACTTGCACTGTGAGGCTGCTTACCTTGCTTATACTGACCTTCTTCCTTGTTAACAGCCTGTCAGTCCATCCCACTGCACAGTCCTTGACATACTCTGATTGCAAGAACACTCCTCTTTTTGGAGCAAATGGTCAATACCAATGGTTGAAAACCTAGAGGCTGGATTTGATGGACGAAGCAGGCTTATTTGCTCTAGACAGGGCAGCCAAGCACCAGCTAAATTAAATCAAAGGTAGTGCAGCAGTGAGGGACGTTTTTCTTGCTGCTGTTGCTCGAGTGCGCCTCTATTGACTTTGCCACTAGCACTGCCTAGGAAGGAAAACACCCCTAACCATCGCCAAGCCTGGGTGAACACTAGGGGAATGTGAGACGCTGCTGCCGTTTAAAGCAAGAGGCTCTAATCCATATTTAAGGATGGCAATTTTAGAGCATAAGCATTAAGGAGGAAGCACACCAAGCTATGACCCTGGACAGGCTTTCTACACTGGTACACAGTAGCTCTAATACACAGGTAGGTTTGACAGCAAAGCACAGAGAACCTAAAGAGGAAGAGCTCCTGGGTTCCCCCCTGCCATTAACTAGGCTGTCAGATGTCTGACTGACAGAGAAAATGTTCTCTCTAGCTGTAATACAAGTACTTAAATTACAAATTGGCTATAAAACAGAGACCTCAGTAAAACCCCGCCCTCCCCTTCAATTTGTTCCTTATTTTAGCACTAATGCAAAGGCCGAAGGCAAACAGCATCCTTACAGCCTTCGCAGGGGTCACTGAATTTGTACTACCCGCATGTCTAAAACCTAATACAGGGATACTTACTTCATTACCAAGATGAAAAGAGCAACAACAAAACACCTGCAGTTAATGCAGAAGCCTTGTTTGAATTCCACCAGGCAAAGAATCAGTTTGAGGTAACCCAGACCACAACAACTTGCATTCCGTTTAAACCAGTATTTTTCGTATCATGAACAGAGTGAACATTGTGCTTACACCGAAACACCCGACATCATTAAGGAAAACAATACTTCACATTAGATTATTTTGGTATATGTGAAAACATCAGATTGCAAACTATATCCTTCATTTTATTATTATTATTACTGAGGTACAGAGTATGAGAGTGAGTAGTGACATTGCCAAGTCTAACGTATCACAATGCTGACCTGATACACTGACAAGTCTCCACATGGAGACCGTTTATTTCTTGATCAAAACATTCAGCTTTAAAACTGTGAAAAGGAAAGCTGAGGAGCTGGGCTGACCCAAGGTTTTCTGACTTGCAGTCCCGAGTTGGAAAGATGATCCTGTAACTCAAAACGTGTTGCAATAATTTAAGACCGCTTTGTGTTCCTCACAGCACTGAAAAAAGGTGATGGCAACGCATTTTAGATTATAAGTCATTTGACAATATACACTTTATTCTGATACAAAATTGAAGTATTTTAACAAATTTCAATCCATTATGGACTATACTGAAATTTTTAATTTCCATGCTATTTTTAAACTTGTTTAACCACAAGTTCTAAGATTTCAGCACGCTAGCACCATTGCTCTTGAAGTCTTTGCCAGTTATTATAACATATTATTCTGTTTCCAATCTTGCGATATTATCTTCTACATGAAGGCCATTTTTCTTCTACGGAGATACTTGCATTACTTTAGTTCAGGAAAAAGCTAATCTTAGATAGAGATGTCAACCTGTAGCACCCACAGCAGAAAAAGAATCGTCCATCAGATATCTGAATTTTAGTGATACTCAAGATCTTTCATGCTCCACACAATTTAAGATACAGACACTTGTCAGAGACCACAGACTGATACGCAAGTGAATATTCCACCACAGTGTAGACAGCATATGAAAACATGTTAATGTCTTAAACACAGGAACCAAAGACAGCAAGTCAGTACATCACACAATTGATGCTTGAAGGACTAGAAGCATTCCCCTTCCCGTCTTAAATATTTAAAGGATATCACAGTTAAGATGCTGTGTTCAATTTCAGTGTTCTATAATAACAAAACACTTATCACATCTGCATCAACCTGGGCCCCTTTTGGGGAAACACATTTTTACTACCTGGAAGTACCATTTGCTTTTAGATTAACACACAGGTTTAGGTATCAAATAAACTTCCGTAGACCTGCAGCTGAGGGACCAAACCTTCGTTAGCTTTACATCCTTACGTCCCTGTCTCCATTTACGGCTGTTTTTTAAAATCCCAGCCACTATAGAAAAACCTAGCCATGAAACAATGTTCTTAACTCTTGGAAGTGCCTCTTGGACAAAGATACACTTGACCCGAGAGAGAAACACTCCTTAAGGATGTGTTTATCTTTGACAAGGTTTATTTCTGAACAAACTGGGGTATGAATAATTGAAATTAAGCAAATTAGTTTAACAAGAGTGTGAGAAATCCAAGTGTGAAAATAATTCTAACAGTGAATATCTAGTTCTATACACGGTGCAAAAAGACCCCTCCAGAGCACAGAACAAGTCTGCAGCAATGCAGAATCCCCCGATGTTAAGGAAAGGCAGAGCTTTGCTCTATACACAGGCCTAGTAATGGGATGCAAACGAGAAAGTTTTTGTTAGAACTGGCAAAGGTTTTCCACCTCTAGGTGTAAGAGAGCAAGCTTGTCACCTCAGCAACAAGCTGTCTAGCATACTGCACTAAGGAGAGACTGGGACCTTACTGCAGCAGTTTTAAATTTTGGCTCAGCCTTGGCTAACCAAAAATGTTTGTCAGCGTTTTTTTTTTTAAATATATACAGTCATTGTGAGATTTCCATTAAGTAGCTCCCGATTAGATGAAAACCTTGACATTACCATTGTAAATTACTTCCAAGTTAAAACTTTCAGTTGTATGTTACAATGTCAAGAGTTTGCTTTCTGGATGTTTACAGACAGCAGGTAACAAGTTTAAATACTTGAATCAGTCTGTGAACATGCCTAAGCCCCAGGTTAAACTGAAATGCACAGGTTCTGTTAGACTTTATTTTGAGTAACTGAAGCATAACCAACACTAAAATAGAAACTGGCATCGCAGAAATAGTGCACAGACTCAATAACGTATTGGTAAGTTTAAATAGGTACTAGTCTGCTATATAAAGGAGTTAAAAATAGCCCAGACCTGTAACAATCGAAGGTGCAGAAAAGGAAATAGATGTTCCAAGAGTTAAGAACCAACGTGCCTAAAAGCGGATTCCACAGAAAGTTCTTTTATTGCCATTCATCTGTATACATGCAGTCGTGCTTTCAGCTGGGTATCACGTGACAGTATTAGCCTCCACTAAACTACCCTGCCTGAAAGCAGCGAAAATCTGAAAGGCAACTCTTTGATTTGTACAGATAAATACAAACCCACCTGGTAAGCCAAGATTAATTTATTAGGAGGGAGATCACTGCTCTAACCAATGCAAAGCGCCTTTACAGAATGACTACAGCAGCAGCGCATCACACACAGAGTTGTGATGAACCGCTTCAGTGTCTTCACCTTTCTGGGCTCCTGCAAGGCGTCTCTTTCTATGGCAAGGTAAGGAACCATTTCTCAAAACCCCCACAGCACGCTCCCCACAGAAACTAGAGCACATGTTTCAACACATTTATCATTTCTGTCTTGCCGATCTCACACACAGCAGTTTTGTACCTGCCAGGAAGAGAAGATTCTTGAATAGCAATTATGCCAGCAAGCAACCCTCATCCAGAACAGGAAACACTGGATGACATATGC